GCCCCACGCACAGCGGGGGGGGTTCGGCAGCTCTGCCAAGGAACGCAAACCTCGGACAAGCCGAGGTGTGAGGGCAAGAGAAGGGCAGGAATATCCCTTCAGCTTTCGCAGGGGCTTGGTTTTGTCTGCTCTACAGATCGGGCAGCGCAGCCTGGGCTGCCAGATGCCGGCTCTGACTTGTGCTCTAGCGTGGTATGCATTATTTAGTAAATATGCGTATTTACCACCCTAAGCTTTGTAGCTTAGCCCCTTGACAGAAATATACATAGACAATCTTCCCAACTATGGTACTGAATGTTAACTTGTTTTTTTCCCTTTGCTAACAGTTGAATATAACAAATGTCTTTACAAATCATGCCATTTCTCCACTTTCTGTTAACTATTTCCATCTCTCACGTATCAAAAAATGTGTTTAATGGATGACTAAACCTGAACTACACACAGCCCGAGAAGGGGAGGGTGATGTTAAACCAGCAGCGACTCCCAGCTCTGCATACTCTTCCTCAGCGGTGGTGGCTTCACTGACTGCAGTCGTGCAAACAGGAATAGTCCAAACCTGGACAAGTCTATGAGGCACTTTCACTGGGCTCTGGCCCAAGCTGCAGCATAGCAGCTGTGCTCTACATTACCAGTAGTCTTTTTTTTCTTTTTTTTTTTCCTAGTAGGAAAAAGACAATCCTGTCATCTAAATATGAGAATTATTGTTCTGGCTCTTCTTCCCAATTCTCAAAAGATTTAAGTCAATTTAAAGGGAAAATGAACCATATGGTGGTATCTGCATGTTTGTTTACTGATGCCGCCCCGTGAGCTCTCCAGCCCCCTCCCCGGAGGAGCTGCGTAGCTGGTCCAAGTCAGTGCGCTGTGTGAGTCTTCCAGCGCTCGTACAGGTGGGATACCATCGGGAATGGAGGGAAATGGAGCACAACTGCCTCTTGTACCAATGCCCCCCGTTTGTATTAAAGCAGTGTCACCCTCCATATTCTCCTCCTGCGAGGAAGGGAACAAAAGCTGATGTATTGAAGATGGGATTTGTTTGGTTTGGGTGGTATTTTTTGCCTCAGCATATGTTGTACCACTGATAATCGCAAACTCCTGTATTAAGCCATTCCTTATAGGAATGGAGCAAGGGAAAATAAAAGGTTACACTTTATTTTAATAAAAATTAGGAGCTTTGTTGCTGAATGCTCGTCTCTGATGATTCGGGTGCAGGGAAGGAGGTGGTATTTCACCGTGCTGATGTGAAGCCACACGTGTCGGTGCTCCAGCCAGAGTCCCGTGCTGCTGGCCCTCTGTGGCCTGTAGCAGCTCCGATACTGCTCCTTTGCAGCCACAGCCAGCCCCGAGCAGCGCAGCGGGGTCACTGGGCCGGGTTGCACAGCTCGCAGCAGCAGGCGTGTTACGCGCACGGCTCGCTGGCGAGAGCTGCAAGAGATGGAGGCAGCAAAACCGAGCCCCCACCCCGCAGGCTGCCTCCGGCTCTGCAGACCCACCTGTATTGAACTACAAGCAAACCGAATGCAGCCATATACGCCCACTGCCTCCGGGAGCGCGTCTGCTCCTTGTGCCGGGCGAGGAGAGCCAAGGGCTGGTGGACGGTGCTGGGGCTGACTCAGACTCCTGGCAGAGCAATACCAGCGCTGGGTTGCTGTGAGTCATGAGAGATTTTATTTTTATTATTTTTTTCAATCCCGATGCAGGCGTTTCTTGCATTAAGGCTTATTAAGGTTTGGCATCAGGGATGCAGCTTTGCAGCCGGCTAAACGCAAACCAGCAAAGCGAGCAGCGTGTGCGGGCAAAGCGTGACATGGTGCTGAGGGGCAACAGTACATTTTATGGTGGCATTCGGGTGCTCAGTCTTCAGGTGGGACCCAACATTCACCAGGTGAACCCACAAGCTCACCTTTCGTGGTACTTTTTGGTTCATGCACACCAGGTGCTGTTCAGCGCTACACCTCTGAGGTGAATGCAGTTATCACGGCTCATGTACACGGAGGGTGCAGAATACATGCCCTCAAGGTGCTGAGGCCCACGAATGATCAGCAGCAGTACTTACTCTGAGAAGAGCCGTGTTGGAGTAGGCATCCTTGCAGAACGAAGAGTTTCACGCTGGCACTGCTAGCAAATAACCATGAATGCATGCCGCTTTTGGCCCCACAGCATGAAAACCCAGCACCGGGACAGCTAACTGCAGCTCAGCAGCTGTGCAGAAAACCAGACTGATGACACACACTGTATTATTGCTGTGCTCCATCAAGTTCCTATTGTCCTACAATAGTGAGTTCTTTATATTTTTCAAAAGGCACGTAATTAATTCCAGCACGCACAGAGTTTTAATGGACAAAACCCACTCATTATGCCCGTTAGTCAAGGCCCGGCTTTTAATAAAGTTTCATTTTATCTATTGAGATGACAGATGAGGAAACAAATATAAACCAGGAACCTTTTAAACAAATTATTTTTGGAAGCTGTGATGCACACATTGCCAGACATAAAAGATACTCAGAGGAGAGCAAGTTGCACCCAGCGTAGCTGTTGTTATGGGTGATGCTCATTACTTTTGATCAGCTGCTGGAGAAGTGTTGGTTTTATTGTGTACGGTTGTTGGTTTTTTCTTTGACACCGCACACACATGATTTAAGGCCATTTATTTCTTAACTATAATAAATGCTACGCTGCTGTCTGCATGCATGCTGGTACCAGCAGGTTGTTATACCTGTTTCTTTGAAACACAATCTAGTGCTTCATGATGGTAGCACGTTGGTTTTGCCCCAAGGGAAAAAAAAAAAAAAACCAACTCCTCTCTCCTATGGCACAGAGACTCAACACATGTGAGCAACGCCGCCTCTTCTCCACAGCCATCTTGGTGGCAGCACATGTGGACATAAAAATTCTGGCAGTTGGTAACAATAATCATCTGAAAATGGTTCGAGAGCTAAGGATGCAGTAACTGGTAAAGGGACAGTTAGAGGGAACGGCACAAAGTCAAACACAAGTCCTTCAGCTCATACAGCACACGGGCACAGCCATCTCCTACCTCATAGCAACCACAATTAAGAAAAAGCACTAACTGCAAGAACAAGACGACCCTGGTATCAACCCCTCAGCAGGAGGCTGGACAGAGGTTGCTGTCTCAGGCTGATGAGACCAGAACAGACACGGTCTATGGCAGCCTCACAGCAGATGCTTCCCGGGGGCAAAGCATCCTTGGCTCTCACGGGTCTGGCACCTACAAGCTCCAGCCTTAGAGGAGTACGAAGCCGTGGGACCAAAGAGGAAAGGCGGACAGAAGGGCTGAGGGGCAGAGAAATCCAGTGTGGTTCTGCCGGCCCAGCTGAGGCTGAGCAAAGCCCCTCGGTCTCACAGCACAGCTAAGCCAGCCCCTACAAGAGCCAGACCCGCATGAACTGGACACGGAAGGGGCAGGATGGGGGTCTGAAGTCCTAAGTCCGTGTTTGCTGTTGGGATGTTTCCAGATGCTGACGTCCGCTTGGGACCTGGCTGCTTTACAAGGCTGTTTACAAGGAGATCTGCCCCTGCTCCAGGGTGTGCCTCACATTTTGTTCTAGTCCTTGTCTCTTATTTACTGCGGTTGGCTCAGGTATCCAGGCAGCGTGCTTATTTATTGGCATATTGTTGACTTACAAATTAACGTCTTCTTTCAGTTACAGAAAGCCACCAGCAAAGCTACAGCTGTCCACCGGGTCCTTGAAGCTTTCTCGGCACTCAAGCCTAAGCTAAGGGTCACAACCAAATTCAACAAACAGCAGCTGTGCGCCAACTTTTCCTTTACTACCCCGTGCCAAATCTGAGCTTTGCCTTTTGTCTTAAAATGTTTTTAATTGCATCTAACTACACATGTAGATGCATGCACCCAAACATCTAACCATGAAATCTGTTGTCTCCGGAGCCACAGAGCAGAGCACTGCCTGCCCTGCGCGGCCGAGGGAGAGCTTTTCCCCGAGGACAGGGCCAGCGCTGCCCCAGCCAGCAGGACAAAGCCCTGGTGCTGCCCTGGCTGCTGCGGCAGTCGAGGTGGCTGTGAGAGCTCCCATTTACCGAAGGGGCTTCCCTGTTGTTTCATTTAGGGCCAGTCCCACCATTAGCTTCCCCTCCGTGAGTGCCAGAGCAGCAGCCACTAACACCAGTGCTATTTGGGATAGATGGTGCAACCACGGTGGAGTAATTGAGGTCCAGACTCCTCCTGGCACCGCCGCTGGCCATGAGATGACACACTCCATTTCCTCATCTTCCATGCAGAGTCTGCGAGAGCATGTCCCTCAGCTGTGTCCTGTCTTTGACCTCATTATGCAGTTTGCATGATACAGGGATTTTTAAAGCTACAGAATAATGTTAGTAATTTGTTTTTACTGTGAGCATCACAAGCATAAAAGAGTTAAGTGGTCATGAGGGTAAGCTTACCCCAGGGTGTATGGAAGAGCAGGGGGCAGAAATCCAGAATCCCTGTCATGCATCATGACCTCAGGACAAATTACGCCTTGTGCTTCTTACCCGCCCATCAGGAGGAAAAAGCATGCTAATTATTCCTACAGACAATGCTCTAGACAAGACGAGTTATAGTAAGAGTAAATAAGCACGCATCTTATATCTGAACAAAACAAGCAACACTGTAATTTATATATAACGGGTAATATTTATTTAAAAAAGACATTGCAACTGACAGAGAAAATAAATGCCATGAAATGTGCCATACATTCACAGAGATGTATTTAAAGTAATTGATTTCTTATTCTCTGAGGTGATCATTGATACAGATACTTCCTGACAATTAAAGAACAAAACCAAAGTTCTGTAACATCCTGTCCCTAAAGTACCTTGCAAGATGAAGTTCAAGAGTTCCTGGCCAAGAGTCCTACCTTGCTAAATGCCACACACAGAAGATGACTTCAGACATGGTTTCACTGGCTTCTCTTCCAGCATTTGCAGCTCTGGTGTGAATGAGACTGGTCTGCAGAGTTCGCTGGTTTGGGTACTGCCCAGGAAAGAGTCCCAAAAGGAAGAACAACAGTTGTTTTATTCTCAGTAATACCTGTAGTTCAAAGCCAAAGAGGTGGCCAAAAGTGTGCACTCCCAGGTGAAGCTATAACATACAGAAGTATATGTCTTAAGAGCCATTTATTTCTTATATCCCCATTTCATAGAATATTAGAAAAAGACCACCATATACAAAAATCTTATCATTACAAGTTATTAAAAAAACCCTTCAGACCACTAAAACACACAAGAAAGTGTTTGTTTGCATACAGTAGAAATACAATCCTCATTAAAGCAGCATACCGGAGAAGCCAGCTGTTAAGTAAGTTTTCAATTAAAAAAGACAAAAGCCCAGATGTTCCCGTAATACAACCAGAACATTGGAGAAAAGAGAGGAACAAAACATTCATAGTCTGCCATGCCGGGTACATCATCTTCGTAAGGTCACTTCAGGCCTAAGAGAGTATGGGATCGAACAAAGAGCATGGAGTCAGTGCCCGGGCAGAGCATTCCATGCCCAGCCCTCGGAAACAGCAGCTCTCCTCGGCTCCGCTTTACTCACGCAGATCCGACTGGATCTGCCGGGGCAGGAGGGACATCCCGAGGACGCCCTTCCTTCCACCGCGGGCAGGACAGCTCGGCCCCAGGCCAGGACTTCTGCCCACAGGTTTGAGCCTCAGCCCTCCACCACCAACACGTCAGCTCCAAAACCAAACGGCACGTGCGGTGGGAGCCCCGACGTCACCAAGAGGGGCACCAGTCTGTAAAGCAGCACGGGGACAGCCCGCTCTTCCCTGTCCCATGACGACGTTCCCAACCGAGCATCGTGCAACCACCGCTGCAGCCTGCTGACGCTTCCCCTCCAGAGGACAGTTTGTCACTGATGAAGATGGTCCAGACTCAAATCATGAGACGCCCAAATAAAACAGGGTAGGGGAAGTATCTGATTTACACACTGAAGTTATTCAACCTCAGACTTGCTGCCATCCTTAAGAAAACATAAGCTCTTGGACTAATCTTGGAGAAAAAATGATTCTCGAAAACCTGTCCCAGCTCTAACACCTTGCTTGCGGTCAGACAGGATTCACCCGGCAGCACAGAGGGAGCCTCACGAAGAAGCAAGCAGCTCAGGCATAGCTGTTGCTGGGACTAAGCGTCTTGCTCTGGCCGCCTCACACCAAGCAGGGCAGTTTCATGACGGCAACTGGCAGGAGCCCAGGGGCTCGCTCGCAGCCCCCTGCGGGTCCGCACCGCTGCAGCTGCTAGACACGTGCCGTTCTCAGAACAGGCACGGTGACCTACACTGGCGAACAGCCATTATAGACAACATTGACATTTATAAATAAACTCTCCGCTCTTTCAGCTTTCTCAGTCCCTCCAAGTACAGGCTGCTGATTCTTCTAAGAGCCTAGAAGATCTTAAGCAACAGAAAAAGGAAAACGGGGACTCCTTCCTTGTTGGGTCAATGCAAGAAGCATCCCGAAACATAAACTGGTTCTTGTTTGGCGTTAAACAACATGAACGTGAATCTCAGCCTCAACAAATCAAGCTGTCAGATGCTAGTCCTACTCCATAGGATACGGCTTTTTCTCCGTCTCAAACTTTTTCACTTCCCCTTCTGAGGCAATGGAAGTGGAGATGCTTCTACCTTTGTGGCTCAATCGCCATCTAGAAATACTTGCCTGGCAATACTGGCCCCGTGAAAGACATCCTCCAGCCCAGCTCTGCCCTGAGCACAGCTGCGGGAGCAGTGGCTGTTCCCAAATGCCATCATTTCGAAGCACGGCTACCTAGTTTACCTGCAGTCTCCTGTTAGCTCCTCCTTTTGGCTGCCCGCTTGACTGGCTGTGCCTGCTCTAAACGTGGCTCCAGCACCATCCGTACTCAGACCGACCCCCTTCGTCACCTCCTGGATGTGTCCGCCTGCCACACTGATCCTGCAGCGGGGGTGAACACCTGCCAGTCACTCTTTGGCATGTTGATGGTTTACGCTGGGTACGACTGGTTCATTTCTGGCTGCTCGCCTCTTCGCAGGGCCTCCCGCCCTCACCTCCTCTACTCACCACACACCCTTCTTAAAGAAAAGAGAAAGCTCCTGCCTTTGCTTTTCAGTACTCCTTCCTGCATCGTGGAGATACCGAACGCTAGCATATGCCACAAAATTCCTGCCAATATACAGACTTTATATTATATAAATAAGTAAAAGTTTCAGACAAAATATCCTATAATTTCTGTGGTGTAACATTTTTAAATAGCATTAAAACCACAAACCATCCAGCCCTTGTGATTAAATATACAAACATTTGTGAATTGATAAGGCTCATAGGTACATATGCAAAAATAAAGTGCCCCTCCCCCCACCAAGAAACAGTTCTGTACAGCTAAGTCTGAAAACAGAGAGAGTAAGTTATTTAAAATAAAACCTCCCGAGCTGGAAGTGCAGCCAGATTTTCAATCCTTGTTCTCATTTCTGCTTTCAACTCGGCAACACGGGAGTATTTACAAGCGGAAGAGGAGCTGCCATGGCTGACTCCGCAGCGCCGCTGACCTGCAACCTGTCCAGCTAAACGCCTCACAGGGCCTTGGTGCTGGCTGGGTGTGCAGTGTGGGACGTGGGCTTCTGAGGGTAGTAGCTGTACAAGTAAACCTGCAGCAGGATAGCGATGTCCACGAAAACCTGCAGGAGTCCGCAGATGGAGAACTGGAACGGGGCCTGATTCAAAATGAAGTAAACAGTCTTGAACGTGTCCCCACTGGTCCACATCAGCACCATCTTGACACTAGAAGACAGAAGAGAAGGGAAGAGAATTTATTGAGAAGAACTTGGCTTTGTGATTAGACCTGCAGTCCCAGAGGATCCCACCTATTTCAGAGAGGGTTTACACTCAAGAGTGGGTTGGGACTCCCCTCGACGAGGGCAGACAGCGTGCCTAGCCAAGACGTGCAGCACTGTACTTGGAAAGGAGGATCAAATTCTCTACCCCACAAACTGCAGCATTCTTAGCAATTACAGCTCCAAATGCCTGTGGCTACGAAGGTATCCAACATTTTTAAAATATCCAGCTAGGATATTTGACTCAGCGGTGCTCTGTAAACATGACTGCCACATGCTGACAGCACTGACCATAAACCAAATACAGTGCATGGAAGACAAAGGCAATTCATCTCAGCAGTTACTTCTTGTGCGTACAATTTTGTGCTCATGCAAGGTGAAGTAACACGTAGACTGCTCTCTCATGCGTGCGCACTTTTTTAGCGTCTGCTGAAAAAACACTTCTGAAAGAGACGAGGAACCATTTCTTATTGCAGAAAATGCAAAACCAAAAAAAACCCAGAAAGATTGTCCAGTAATACAGAAAGAGGAGAAACGACATGCCTGCAGCTGTTACTGGAAGGATGAACATCACTAGGGATTTTTAGCAAGGACACAGATCAAGAGCAACGCTCAGACTTCCTTTTAATAGCCATCCTTGCTTTCATCTTGCCGTACTGCAGTCCAGCTCTGCTCCCCCACATCAGGAGAAACTCTGGAGACTAGAAGCAAGTTCTTCAAATAGACCAAATTTTTTTCAGTGCCCTCAACAAAATGTGAACAACCAGATCCTGAAGGCTGTTTTCGAGCTTCATGCACTTTAACAAGAGAGCTTTTTAAGCAGCTGGATAAGCGGTAGTGGACAAAAGCTTTGTAGTTCACAGCATGAGCATTGCGCATGATTTGTCATAATTATGAGCAATTACATTTTGCCAGCGCTGACTCCAATTCATCAAATGCAGTCAGGCCCATGCGGCAGGGTAGGACTTCATTTCTCAAACATTCAGGCAGGGAGCTAGCACAATTTGTATTTTGGACACAAGTACACAATGCTATTGCAAGCCAAATGCTGCAGCCCACTCTCTCCCCATATGGGAAGGGTGGCCAAGAGCATCAGTTTATACTGCCCCATCGCACTACGGAAACACAAGCCTTTTTGTAACTCGTGTTGTGGGACTGAGAGCGTAAAACAGGCTTACAATCCCACGGACCTTCCAAAGAGAGCCTCTGTGGAAGTGCAAGCAAGGACATGGGGTTGAGTAAGCAGTCATTCCCCCCCCAAGGTCATTTGAAAAATGTAAATAAATAATCAGAGAAGGAAAACAACTGCTGAACCCACAGTGTCACTTGTGCTTGGCGCAAACAGCCTGCACAAGCTGCCTTGTGTGTGTTCCCAGTCACACCGAGTCACCTTACATCACACTTACGGGAGGTTTACAGACGCAGGCGGTGGTGGGGATTGTTTGGGATTTTAATTAGGAAGGGCGATAAACTCTGAGGGTAATAAAACTGGCACCGTGCTTGCCTGCAGCCAACATTCCTCCCCCTCTGATTTTAAGCTTATCGGTGTTTGCTGGGCAGCTGATCACAATTTAATTGTGAATCTGTCCTGGCGTGGTTGGGGACCCTCACTAAAAGCACACACTAAACCTGGCAGATCAAACTAACTGCTCGCTCTTGACAGAAAGGCAATTCAGAGATGCCACGAAATACCTGAACAGGAGTTTAACATGCAAAGGGTATTTGCCACATATTCCCCAGGGAGAAAGCTGGCTGGGTTTTAAAAGTGACCACACAGTGCAGTGCAGATGTGGAGGAGAAAATACACACTGTCAGAAGATGTACAGCCTAGAAAAGAGTTTACTCCCCCAAAGAAAGAATAATCACTGGGGGAAACCCTACAGACACATGCAGTCCAGCAGCGTCATAAGAGCCAAGCACTAGAAGAACACGGCTAGCTGTGTCACATGCAGCGCCGAGTTTGCCAAAGTAATTCTGGGTTTTGCTAGGAAGCCACCTGGGCACTCCACAGCCTGCAGCACTGACTGGGTAGCTCGGTGCACGCTCCAATAGCCTTTGCGTGTTCCAGAGCCCCGCTCTTCAGCTCGTACAAGGAATCGAGCATCATGCCTGGGGTCTCACTAGGACATGACAATGCTCTACGCACAGGAAAATCTCAACTTCGTGCTTGGCAAAAATGATTTAAAAAAACATAATGGATAGTTTAAAGAGCTAACACCACCGGTCTGTCACTGAATCAAAAAACATACATCCTTCTCTGTCCAGCAGCTTGGACAAAACAGCAGAGAAAACCTGCAAATCACCAAGGTACTACAAAAATGCAGAATAAAAATATACAAAACACTTGATGTTCCAAAAAAACTTAGTACTGCAGCTGCACCAAGGTTCTCAGAGCCCAGGGTTAATACAAAGCAGCGACTGCGGGAGTGCTGGTTGCTTTCCAGAGGAGAGGCTGGGACTGGACAACAGGAGCATCTCCAACACAGACCTAAAAGGTGCACGGGGTAACTGAAAACAGCTTGGCAAGGCAACAGGGACAGTGTCACACAAGAAGTGAGAAAAGGCAATGAAGAGCCCCAGAGGAAAGCCAAGGACACATCAGAGAAGCAAAGAGGTCGGTCAGATGAGAAGGGGATAGGAAAAAAGAGGCTGGAGCAGGACAGGGCATGACAGGAACAGAAGAGAACTGGGAACTTGGGACAGAAGTCCTTGGAAACGACCTGAATTTGGGGTGGACAGACAGAGGAATACAGCCTGGGACAAGGGCATTCGGGGTTGTATTGGGTTTGCGTGGCAAGGTTTTGGTAGCTGGCGACTACAGGGGTGGCTTCTGTGAGAAGCTGCTAGAAGCTTCCCCTGTGTCCAACAGAGCCAATGCCAGACGACTCTAAGACGGACCCACCGCTGGCCAAGGCCGAGCCCATCAGTGACAGTGGTAGCGCCTCTGGGAGAACATATTTAAGAAAGGGGAAAAAACTGCGCAACAGCAGCAGCCAGGAGAAAGGAGTGAGAACACGTAAGAGAAACAGCACTGCAGACCCCCAGGTCAGTGAAGAAGGAGGAGGAGGAGATGCTCCAGGCACCAGAGCAGAGATTCCCCTGCAGCCCATGGAGGTCTACAGTGGAGCAGATCTCCACCTGCAGCCCAGGGAGGACCCCACACCAGAGCAGGGGGATGCCCGAAGGAGGCTGTGACCCTGTAGGAAGCCCGCGCTGCAGCACATTCCTGGCAGGACCTGCAGATCTGTGGAGAGAGGAGCCCATGCTGGAGCAGGTTTTCTGGCAGGACTTGTGACCCTGCAGGGGACCCACGCTGGAGCAGTCTGTGCCTGAAGGACTGCAGCCCATGGAAGGGACCCACGCTGGAGCAGTTCGTGAAGAACTGCAGCCCGTGGGAAGGACCCATGTTGGAGAAGGTCATGAAGGACTGTCTCCCATGGGAGACACCCCATGGCAGAGCAGGGGCTGAGTGTGGAGTCCTCCTCCCCCTGAGGAGGAAGGAGCAGCAGAGACAAGGTGTGAGGAACCGACCCCAGCCCCCATCCCCTGCGCCGCTGGAGGGGAGGAGGTAGGGAAGTTGGGAGTGGAGTTGAGCCCAGGAGGAAGGGAGGGGTGGGGGGAAGGTGTTTTAAGATTTGGGTTTATTTCTCATTATCCTACTCTGATTTTGATTGGCAATAAATTAAATTAACTTCCCCAAGTTGAGTCTGTTTTGCCTGTGACGGTAATTGGTGAGTGATCTCTCCCTGTCCTTATCTCGACCCACGAGCCATTTATTTTCTCTCCCCCTGTCCAGCTGAGGAGGGGAGTGATAAAGCGGCTTGGTGGGCACGTGGTGTCCAGCCAGGGTCAACCCACCACAAGGGTGAAGCTAGGGAATGAGCAGAATAGGTGTGTGCTGGCCCAGGACCCCCACTTCATCACTGTAATGTCTGCAAGCATCCCTGAATGCCCCCAGCACCCTCTCCAGTTATGTTCGTGTCTTGCTCCTCCAGGTGCCCGCCCTAGGGAAGGGGAAAAGCTACAACTGCTGTCAGCTCTCCCACATCTCAACCAGCACCCGTTAGCACACACAGCCTGGAAGTCTGAGCTTGCTGAGAAACCCATCGAGTGTCTGCGTGGCATCTCAGGGGGGAACAGAGCTGCCCCTGCCCCCACTACCACACAACGGGCCCATGCTTCAGGATGCTGGGAGAGGGGCTGAATGAAGTCTACACCATCAGCATGGCTTCTGCCACGTCCTAATTTCCAGACACTCGGGTACAATAGTAATGGTCCTCCCCCCTTATTTGGGCTGTGCAATTGTCCTCGCTGCATATGCAGATGCCATTCGCAATAATGCAGTGGTGCGTGCATGACCGTGCGTGACTGATTGCATGGATACACCATCACTGCTCTCATACTTCCAGCTATTGTGTCACGTCAGGATGCCACACAGGATAGAAAAGCCAATTTTTGTCTGCAGCTTCTCAACTTCACAGACTCACTCAAGGAAGAGAGGTAATTGTTGTATTTATTTTTTCTTTGGGGGCAGGAAAGAAAAAAAAACAACCTATCTTGGGCAGATAGCTGCCTCTTACCTGCCCCAGAGGAGAAAAGAGCAGTGTCTGTGCAGAAAGGGAGGGGTTTATTGCCCAAAAGAAATGGGAGTTTTCAGTTAGTTGTGGGGAAAGAAGAGGAAAAAGGGGAGAGCACACCCAAGCCCTTCTTCCACTGCTCTGCTGTAACCTCCATTTGCTGAATGAAGCTCCAGTCCTTTCCTGCAAGACGTGTAAGGCTCATTTTTAACAAGCTACCAGTACACCAAACGGGGCAACCCTCTAGTCGCAGCTTTCTTCCCCTGCAGGACTCAGCAAGCCACGTGTCAAAAAATCTGTGGGATCACAGCAACAGCATGAGTCTCCCGGAGAGCCACTTGACACAGCAGCAGCTCCAACGCAGGCTGCC